ACACACACACACACACACACACACACACACACACACATTAACAAAGACACACACACACACAGACACGCACACACTGTATAAACTTTACTTAGAAAAATAGACAATACAAATTTGGCTAGAATAAATATTTTCTACATTTTCTATTTTTGTGCCAGTTCACTTGGTTCAATAAAGACGTTTAAATAAAGACGTTTAAATAAAGACGGTTAAATAAACCTGATTACTTAGGAGACCCAGAATGTATTTCTTTATAATATTAATTAATTTAATTTGTATATTTTGGACTTTTTTGGAACATCTAGATCCTGGTTATTAATTAACTATAATTAATGTTTCCTTTTTATTAGCGACAAATAAATATAATTAATAATTATGAAGCCATTATTATTTTATAAATGTGAACTTAAATATGTTGTGAAGACATTTAAATTCCCCATAAATAGAACAGATGATCCGCTGCATCCTGTTCATCATTAAAATAAAACATGGAAAATGAACTTGTTTAAATGATGTTCTCACACTGAATCCTGCAGTTCTGCTTTTAAAACACTTTAACTTTACTTTCATTTACAGCTTTAAAGATAAAATAAACTTGTTTACCGTCGCAACGTTCCTGCAGTCTCTGAAGAGGAACTCCAGAGCGTGAGGATGAGTGGGCTCCACCGACTGACCCACATCTATCAACCACACCTGGAACACGAACACACACACACACACACACACACACACACACACACACACACACACACACACACACACACACACAGCAAAGTCATGAAGGACAGAGGACAGCTTGAAGGAATCAGAAACATGAAGGAGAGTGAAGGTGTGTTACCTTTCCTTCGTGCCACAGCATGTTGTATTCACTGAGATCAGCGTGAACCAGATTACACTCCTGATACAGCTGCTGCATCACCTGCACAGACACAGAGCCCAACGGCATTCTGGGTAAACGGTAGTTTGAACTCCTATAATACTTAAACTGTAGCCCTAAGATATGTCACTGTTGAATGCAGTTATTGTGTGAACCAGTACTGAATCACAGCTGAAACAAATGCTTAGCTGCTGTTGTAGTTCTCTGTAAGTACACAGTGTAGTACCAGCGGTACGTACATGTAGGACCTGGTAGAAGGCGGTCTTCATGTCCTCTGAGCTCAGCACCACGTCTTTCAGCTTGGGAGCAGGGATGTGGTCTTTACCGATGAACGACATCACCAGGATGTGTTTCTTCAGCAGCACCACCTCCGGACACGGAATCTCTGCCTTCTTCATCCTGAACGGCACATTTACAACGTCCGAGTCGTTAAAAACACTTTAGATTCATTACAGTATACAAAATATATACATATATTTTAGTGCTGGGCAAGTTAACGCGTTAACGCATCCATTAATTAACGGCAACAATTATTTTATCGTACATCAACACATTTTTTAAATTTATTATAATTTTTATTTTTTAAATTGAAAGACAAGAGACAATACATAGACATAAGAGGATGACAAGAACAGTGGGATAAAAGCCAGCAAACATCCTATAGTCAGTTGTGTATGTATGTATGTATGTATGTATGCATGTGTGTGTGAGCGTGTGTGTGTGTATGTCCTTGAGCCTTTTGAGATGAGAAAAAAAAAAAATAATAATTAACAAACAACAAAAAAAAAACAGGTAAGTATTTTTAATTTATTATTATTGTAACAGACTGTCTCATGTTTATCGTTTTGTATTGGAGATGATATGTCCCTTCAGGGTTGCCGTAGAGAAAAGGTGACTTCCGCTTCTGGTCGAGGGGGGGCAGAAATAAAGAGAGAAGCTGCACCAGCTGTTGCTCTCCCTGGAGACTACTGGACATCGCTGCGGTAAAGTCAGCAGACACTCAGATCTCCGCGGTCAACTCAGCAGACACTTACATGTTAGTGCACCTATATGCTGACATTCACGGTAAACGCATTCAAACGGCACAGATCGGGAGCGAGCGAAGGACTTTGAAAGTTAGCGGAAAGATTAACGTGAGACAACATCCGGTTTCTTCAGACAAACATCCGGTTTTCAGAATAAGATGCCAACAAAGTATGAATTATATTCACATTAAGTATAAAACATGCTACCTGCATCTCGTGAACCAAATGTTATTGCCCTTTTGTTCATATAGCAGTACTTTTAAAATAAAAGTGCGCAATACACTACTTTTGAATTCATTATTTAACTTTGCCATAACAATGCGATTAATCGTGATTAAATATTTTAATCGTTGCCCAGCACTAATTTATAAAGATAAGAGATGTAACCTGAGAGCTCTGGTGATGAACCACCACCAAGTTATCAACGATGTTCAGAGCAAACTTCCCCGTCGTGTTCAGATTCAACACGTGAGACTTCTTACAGGAACCCTCTCTGAACACACACACACGCAGAGACACACACAGTTTTAAATTGGTACATTGTTTTGTTGTTGCTCCAATAATACATCAATAATAAATAAAAACGTGCGTGTGTGTGTGTGTGTGTGTGTGTACCTGGGTAGGTGATACAGCACCACTTCTGCACTGGGACTGTTTGCTGTTCTTGAGTGATGCTTCAGGTACATCACAAACAGCTGACCATAACTACAGACACACACACATATAACTTTAACATTCACATTATATTATATAATTAATATGATATCAGTAATAATAAACATTATATATTAAATATTATATAATTAATATTAAAGAAGATCTTACAAATCTTAAAATGTAGAAAAATGTAAAAGTACCTCTGGTTACATAAAATAAAAAAGAAACATTGAAGACTAAAAGTGCGTTCACACCAAACGTGGTGCGAATTATTCGCGCGAGTAGATTACATACAAAGTCTATGCACAGACACGATGAGACTGGCACGGCGTGATTGACGCGAATCACCAAATCGCCCCAAACGCCCGAGTTGAAATTTTTCAACTTCGGCGAAATATTCGCGTTACGCCCCGGCGCGATAGCCTATCAGCGTTGAGATGTTTCTCCTGTCATCACTGACTTCCTGCCATTGTTGAATCAGGAAATAAATGCTGTAGCCGTCTGTGTTCACCCAGAGCTCTACGATACCTCATATCAACAGAGACCAAACTATGTGTATACGTGTGTGTGTGTAAACCATATGGTACAAACAATGAATAGACGCTGCCGTATTTACGTCTACATGACGTTATTCTGAGTGTTGGTGGAGCTGCTACAATGTTAGCATAGCCTAGCACCGATCAGTCCGAGCTACATTGAGAAGACAAGTAGCCTACAAATCGGTATCATTACGTAGTTATTTCGGAGTCCCTTTTTGTCGGTTTATTGCCGTTAAATCACAGCAATCAGTTTATTTAGTGTTGGTACAGCTGTAGTAAACAGCGACGTGTGGCTCACTAGACACAGTGAACACAGCTCGATAAAATCCATGGAGCTCCTCTGGACTATGTTATGAACCAGACATGACGCGTTTAGTTTCCCGGGATATCTGTGACTTCCACAACACGTACTAAGCAGAAATAGAGGGTATTTTTCCATGGTTAATGGCGGACAGTTGAACGGCTTCCAGGGCAATAAGCCCCGCCCCCTCTCCGGCGCGTCCAGCGCGGTTCACGAGGATCAACACAAATGGTCCCCGGCGAGACTGGCAGCGCGAATGACGCGAATACGCGCCGCGTTTGGTGTGAACACGGAATAACAGCAAAAATATAAACGCAGAATCTGGTTTTATTAATTAATTAATTAATTAATAATTAACGATGACTCACATGGTTGCCATGGCGATGTCTCTCTCTGACAGGCTGAGTTTGGCCGGTTTGGGGACGACGGGGAGCTCGATCTCAAACTTAGACATCTTAGACATCGTCCCGCTCTGAGGACAAACAACAACATATAATAACAACGTATAGCAACAAATAACAACAACAACAACAACAAATAACAAGGGGAGTTATTAACAACTTTATGTAAGAAAAATAATCTATATATATATATATTAATATATAAATAAATAAATAAATATATATTAATATATAAATAAATAAATATATATTAATATATAAATAAATAAGTATATATAAATATATATATACAAATAAATTGATAAATAAATATATATTTAGAAAAATAAATAAATATATATACACAAAACAGCACATTAATCTGTTATTATAAAATATTAAATAAAGAGCTCAATTAATGCTCAATATTTAATATATTTCTCACATTTATTATTATTTTATTGGATGAATCTGTAGATTAAACTATAGATAAATATGAATTAGCAGCCCAGGCGTGTGAGTGTTAAATATAAACTCTCACAACATAAAGAGATTGACACAGAACTGAAGTGAGTAGAAGTAGATGTCTCCTCTCCTCTCCCCTCCCCTCCCCTCCCCTCTCCTCCCCTCTCCTCTCCTCTCCTCTCATCTCCCCTCCTCTCCTCTCATCTCCCCTCATCTCCCCTCCTCTCCCCTCATCTCCCCTCATCTCCCCTCCTCTCCTCT